AAGAGCAGGGAAACAGACAAACGGCGGACTCAGACTCACGACGTCATCACGTCGACCCCCCACGGGTGACTTCCCTCCACCTCCATTGCTCCACCGTGCTGCTACGATGCCCGTTCCCTCACTCAACACCCCATCATGCTCTTCTTGGCGGTTCTCTCTTCCGAACTCATGCTGGTCCAGGCTCGGGCTCCTCCTCGTGCTGCTTCTGCTGATGCTGCTCACCGCCTCCACCTCCCTTGACCCTGCCCCTGAAATTACCCCCCATGTCCACATTGCTCAGCTCCTCCTCCCCCATACCCCACCCCATTCCCGTCGCCTCACCCCTCCGGAAGCCCACTCTGGTACACCAGAGCCCCGTCTCGCAGATCAGCCCGTCGCGACGACTGCGGGGAGCAATACACAATCTGACTCGGGCTGAAAAACGACTGCGCTCGCCCGTCCCGCCCGCCCCCCCGTCCGCCTTAATGAACTCATGGCATGCCTCACCACTCCCTCCCCCTCAGAACCGAGAGCAAAGTCTGGCAGTTATTGCGGCGAGAACACGGCGGAGAACACTGGATCGTAGTGGCCTTCCAGCGTGCGCAGGCACTGGCCAGACTCCGCGTGCCAGATCTTCGCCGTGCGGTCATAGGAGGCGGTCAGCACCTCCAGCCCGTCCGGCGAGAACACGGCGGAGTTCACTCGATCGTGGTGGCCTTCCAGCGTGTGCAGGCACTGGCCGGACTCCGCGTGCCAGATCCTCGCCGTGCCGTCTTCAGAAGCGGTCAGCACCTCCAGCCCGTCCGGCGAGAACACGGCGGAGACCACGCCACCGCGGTGGCCCTCCAGCGTGCGCAGGCACTGGCCGGACCCCGCGTGCCAAATCTTCGCCGTGCGGTCTCCGGAGGCGGTCAGCACATGCAGCCCGTCCGGCGAGAACACGGCGGAGTACACTCGATCGTGGTGGCCTTCCAGCGTGTGCAGGCACTGGCCGGACTCCGCGTGCCAGATCCTCGCCGTGCCGTCTTGAGAAGCGGTCAGCACCTCCAGCCCGTCCGGCGAGAACACGGCAGACCATGCCAAACCGTCGTGGCCCTCCAGCGTGCGCAGGCACTGGCCAGACTCCGCGTGCCAGATCCTCGCCGTGCCGTCTCCAGAGGCGGTCAGCACATGCAGCCCGTCGGGCGAGAACACGGCGGACTCCACGCCACCGCGGTGGCCCTCCAGCTTGCGCAGGCACTGGCCAGACTCCGCGTGCCAGATCTTCGCCGTGCGGTTATGGGAGGCGGTCAGCGCCTGCAGCCCGTCCGGCGAGAACACGGCGGAGAACACGTGCTCGTGGTGGTCGTGGTGGTCTTCCAGCGTGCGCAGGCACTGGCAGGACTCCGCGCACCAGATCTTCGCCGTGCCGTCTTGAGAAGCGGTCAGCACCTCCAGCCCGTCCGGCGAGAACACGGCGGACCATACCAAACCGTCGTGGCCCTCCAGCGTGCGCAGGCACTGGCCAGACTCCGCGTGCCAGATCTTCGCCGTGAGGTCATGGGAGGCGGTCAGCACATGCAGCGTGGGAGTCAGCATCAACGTAAGCTCGCTGCCGCCAGTGGCACCGATCTCGGCCAAGGTCGCGCCGCCGCGAAACTCCGTCTCCCCGAGGAACACCCGCCTCCGGCTGCCCGGCGCGCCACCCTGCGCGGGCGTCCCCGCGAGCACGTCCCGCAGCCGCCACGACGGGCTGGCGTCCAGGGCCGCCAGCTCTCGCCGGCCACGCGCAGGTGGTGACCCCGGGCCGGAGTGGCCCCCGGTGTGCGGCCTGCCGATCGCTGCGTGCGAGGCGACCGCGGCGGCCCGCGTGCCTGGGCCCCCCCCCCGGAGGCCGCGCACGTGCGTGAATAGGCCACTCCTGCGAGGGGGCCGCCCCTCGGCGCGCGGCCGCTCTCGCCCGGCGCAGGTGACCACGGACACGCGCATGCCCGGGCGGAGCGCCCGCGGACGGGGGCGACCCGGGGGCGCCGATGGGGGAGGTCGGCAGGAGAGCGCCGAGGCCTGCAGAGCGGCCCTGGCCGGCCGACACGGCTGTGCAGGAGAAGGGGGGAGAGGAATGGCGCGGGAGGAGACAAGGGGCGCGGGAGAAGCAGGCGAAAGGACGAAAGGAGACGGAGCGAGGAGAGGAGGGAGGAGAGAGGAGGAGGAATGAGGGAGAACAGAAATAATAAGAACAACAATAATAATGATACTAGTAAGACGAACATGAAGAATAATCAGCGTACAAAGAGTGAGAATAGAACTAACAATAAGAAGAGTAATAATAAGCAGAAGAAGAAAACTAAGACGAATAGTAATAATAATGAAGGGTATTAAAAACCATAATAAAGAAAAAGAGGAGGAGGAATTAAGAGAAGAGGAATAACAACAACTAATAATAACCATACGAATAATGATGATAATCATAAAAGTATCAAAAATAATCATAAGTCTACTAAGACTACTAAGACTAATACTAATAATACTAATAATACTAATA